ATAGTAAATGTAAAAAGATAATCAAGTAGAAAAAAATATAATGAAGTGTCAGGGACAAATATATTAAAAATATATAATGAAGGTATGGGAGGAGTCGATTTACATGATGTGATTGTTGAATGCTATCAGGTAGATATTACAGGTAAAAGGTTCTACCTGAGAATCATTTTTTATCTCATTGATATGTATGTATTCATGGCTTTTGTATAGGCAGCAAATATGCCCTGAAAAAGAGAATAAATTATTGAATTATCAATTTAAAACACATATTGTAAAAGCATTGTTATCCGCAGGCAAATTAGTAAAAGAAAATCAAATAGACTGAATGAACCGATAATTTAAAAAAAGTTCTTCAATAATGGCTTCTATATCTGATACTAGATATGACAAAATTGGTCATTGGTAGGATACCTGCGAAACGAGGCAAAGATTTCGTGATTTTCATAGTAAATAGATATTTGTATTTTTTGTATTACAATATACCTGATGCAAATTGCATCATCATTTTTTACCTGTGTATTTAAAAATAAAAGTTGGAAAAAATTTTGGGCATCTATAGTGAATAAATAAATATTTCATAGAAATTTTTTTTTAATTATTAAAAAGTTGGGCGTCAAAGGGTTAATTGATAAATTAAAATATGATAATTTTCAGATAATGAATAAAAAGGTTCATTTCAAAAATGTACAGCAGAGATATCGATTTTTTTGGTTTAAAAAATTCTCTTTTAACTGTGTGGGTCCATTTACTTAAAAAAGATTTATTGTTAATTGGAAACCTAAATAATTTTAAAAAATAAATAATCATTAAAGTCACATCCTATTCTATATAATAATAAGGTCAGGAATAAAAATAATAGAAAAAAAGTCAGAGATATTAACATTATGTCTGTAAATTAAAAAATAGTAAAAAATAATATTAATTAAAATTATTGAATTATATTTTTCTCATATATAATAATAATTCAAGATATATTATGTCTGTAAATTAAAAAATAATATTAATTAAAATTATTGAATTATATTTTTCTCATATATAATAATAATTCAAGATTTAATTTAATTTTCATTATATAAAGATTGTTAAAGGTTTAAGAAAATTTGAGAATGTAATTATTAGTAAAAAACAAAAAATATATAAATAAATGCTTATACATATGGAAAAGATACATCTTTGTTTTTGCTCAAAAAAACTTTTACATGAATTTTAATTTTTTGTCGTTTTATATTATAAAATATATATTCATATTCTGTTGTTTTGGCGGTAATATCCACGATAATGCATTCACTATAGCTTTTCGAGGTGATCAATATTCGCGGTAATACATTTGAGATTATTAAGGAATGTTTAGCGGTATTGAGGTGGTTCGAGATATTCTACATATGCTGAATATATTTCAGGTCAAATCCAATTAATAAAATTTAAAGAGAGCCCACAGAAAATGATATAAAATTGAGAGATTCCATATCCCAATATAAGTTTAGGGAAAAATTGTTTAAAATTTATAGTCTGTGCAATTAAGAGATTCCGAATCTCCAGAATTCTATTTAATATGATGATAAATGGGAAAATGTGAGAATTTGAATACTCGGTAGATATAAATCGCAATATAAATGGAATACAAGATATTAAAAGGAACCCGGCCGAAGTGGAAATGAAGGCCACCAAATTGGGGATTGATCCTCTGAAATGGTAAAAGCTAGTGACGCCACTGATTTTTGGTTTATCCTTTTAATTATGAGCTCTAACAGGTATGGCCTTAATTAAAAAATATATAAAGAACCCTTCCAGGAAATCAGAATAATTATCATGATGAATTTAGATTATTTCCAAGGGATAAAAAATACTTAACCCTAACTCAAAAAAAATATTTTTAAAATGTTGATATAAATGAAATTTATTGTTATAATGCTTTAGAAAATTTATATTCTCATTTTTATAAATAAATATGCTGACTCTAAATATTTTATTAATAGATGAAACGTTAAAAAAAACTAAGAGAATATAAATATAATAAGTCCTTTAAAAAACAATTATAAATTCTCAATTGCATATATCATGTCCACCAAAAAAAAATTTTCCCTTCGCCTTAATTAGTCAGCATTGAATTGATTATAAATAATATATTTGTTTACATATTTATTATGTAAATAATATATTTGTTTACATATTTATATGTAAATAATATAATTGTCACAGCATGCGTAATTTTTACAATATATTAACTCAGAAATTAGTTATAATAAATAAAAAATAATTATTATTTTTGTAATATAAAATTCATAATTAAAAAAAAGTTTTTAATTAAATTATATAGTAGATTATTCGATTTTATAGAATTTTATTGTAAAAAAAAATTTTGATTTGATATTGTTAAAGTATTTAGGTACAAGCATGTAAATACTGTATCTATATATAAAAATGTGGTATCTGTATCTAGATTTTTTGTTAAAGTATCTGTATATAGATATTATTTTAAAGGTATCTGTATCTATTTTTAGATACTTTTAAGATACATTTTGATATTTTTTAATTTAACGCTTTTTTATATTCTAAATAAAAATACTTGAATGCAAAATTTATTTTATTTCATATGAACATATAATTTAAATATATATATTAGAAAATATTAAGACTACTATAATAAAAAATTATATATATAAAATATTAAAACTTATATATAAAAAAATATATATAAATATTTATTAAATATTATGTCCAAGTTTATAAATAAACCAGATAAATTTTGATATTACAATCCATCACAAGGAATCTACCATTTTTATTTTCAATCCAATCGGTTAATTTTATTTTATTATACTAATTTTAAGAATTAGATTAATATTAATAGTGATGAAAAGGAAGAAGTAATAATCAATGAAGCATCAACAAGTTCAGACATTGTTTTTCCATGGCAAATTTATAGAGCATATTTTAAAATAATATCTCAAAATAAAGAAAACAAATTTCTAATAGTAAAATATTTTTTAACCATGTCTACCAAAAAATACGAAAATTTCAGTTAGCATTTCAACTTACAACATTGTAAAACATTTAAGTGTATAGATAATAAATAAATGTTTACAATTGTGATTTTAAATTTTAAGAGAAAACATCAAACACTGATAATGAAAATAAAAAGGGGAAGGAGAATATATCTATTAAAGAAAATTTGAACTAGGCTCATCGTTCGCTGATATTTATATTAAGAGACCTCAGACTTGAACCCAAACCAGCATTCAGCCATTTTCAATCTTCATATAAAAATGATCAAAACATTAGCGCTCCATAAAAAAATATAATTTGCCGACAGATAGTGGTTGGTAGAATTTCCCAAATATGGGGAAATGAAAAGAAAGATATCATAAAAAGTATAATAGAACCATCACTAATATGCACAACAGATTGTTGGAGTGCTTATCGCCGGCATATCTAACATTTAATTTTGTATGATAATTTTTAGTTCATACTTAGGAATCACTATGCACTATATAGATCCAACAAGTTTGGAAAGAAAAAATGGAGCGTTAACTTGTAAAAGAATGATTGATAGTCATACATATGATAAAATAGAAAAGAATTTACAAGATATAGCAAAGGATTATTGCATTCAAAGTCAAACTTACAATGCCAAAAATTTTCTCAAAGGTTTATTTTATTATAATTATAAAATGAAAATACTAGTCATGGATGATATGGAAGATGAAGAAACAGTTATACCAATCAAGTCTTTAACTATTGCTCAGAATTTTGAAATATCAGAATCATATAGTTTATAATCATAAATGTTGTGCCAGTCACACATTGAATCTTGCTGCCACTGTGGATGCCAATAGTATGATTGTTAATAATGATTTAAATTTTGATACTCAACAAATTTTAAATAATTTTTTCCAAAATGAATGTCGAGATTTTAGTGTATTTTTAAATAATATCCTGATATAAAATTGTTATTCATAAAATATAACACCACAATCCCTTCAAGCGCCCCAGTAGAAAGACTTTTTAGTGTTGCTAAAAATGTCTTTACAGATAAACGAGGATGCCTTAATGAACAAAATTTTTAAAATATAAGGAAATCTAATAATTATTTATAATCATTCAATCATATATCATATATTTTCTATTATATTATTATATTAAAAACTATAAATCATTATTTTAGTTATATTTTGATACATGTGATATTGAGTCAATAAATTTTTTAGCTCATTTCATGAATTTTCACAATAGAATCCTATCCTAATTTAGGTTTATGCAAACCTTATATAAGAGTATAATAAAAATCTAGATACATTTTTATATTGTATCTGTGTCTAGATAACTTATTAGACTATGTATCTATGTCTTTATCTAGATAACTTTTTAGACGACGTATCTGTATCTATATCCATTTAAAAAGTATCTTTTAACAACTCTTGTGATAAATATTAAAAGTATTTGAAAATTAAAAATTGTGTGATATTTATTTTAAGATTGCAAGATTTTTTAAAATTTAAAATAAAAAAAGATATTTAAGAATTGAGAGGAGGTTTAAAAGTTTGATAGTGAGCTTAATATGTTTGATAAAGTTCATACATAAAGATTTTTATTATAAAGTTTTTAATAAAAAGTTTTTAATAAAAAGTTTAATTGATCATTTATTTACGATATTGTTATTTTTAGTAATATTTCTGAACCCCCAAGACACGCCCATTAAAATGATTATCGAATGAGTCAGTCTCAAAATTATGAGACTTTAATTCCCCCCCCCCTAATATTAATATCTAAGAGTTATTTAATTATATATTTTTGAATTGAATCTTGGTCGAAAAAAAATGACAAGAATTTTATGCCAGGAAAAAAATACCACTCAAACTTTGGGTCGAAGTCGTTAAATACGACCAAAATATTGAGTCAGATTGGGAAAAATTGATTTACTTTTCATTAATATAACGATCGTCCTTAATAGGCTAAGAAACATAACATATGTTAATATAAAATATGTTGTATATGCATACTGTTGTCAAATTTATCACCCTTGAAGACTGTCTCCATTTTAGGCCATGTTTGAATCGGCATGACCATATGAAGAATGTCTCGTGTTGATAAAGGCTTTTGAGCAATTAAAGGTTGAGGTTGATTGTTAGATTGATAGGTAAGAAAATCTATCAGAATTTCTATATCGGGAGGGGTTTTTATTATATAGTTATATAAAAATGATTAAAAAAAATAAGATTACTTGAATAATTTGAACTAATGTTTTGCAAAATAGGCCCGAAAAATTAACTATGTATTAAATATTGGTAGGGTTGGGCGACATATTATTTTGCCTTTTTTAATTAGATAGCAAAAAACAAGAGATGTGTCGATATTTTTTATCGTATCAGATCGGATCAATTATTTGTATTTTTAAAAATATCGATTATCGGAAGATATTATTAAATTTACTGTTACGATCCGATAAATAGATAAGTTAAGAACATATATAATTGAAGTTTAAACTAAATAAATAATTTCAAAAAATTCTAACAGTTTACGTTAGTTAGAATTCTCTTATTTCTACATGTGAAAGAATTTTGGAGCAGAACAAAATTACAACGATTTTATTATATAAATAAATGATTAATATTATTTCATTGTTGATGATAACTCATATTCATATTAGTATTATTTAAAATTACTTATAATATGGAATTATAATAAGATGATGTATACTAAAGGTAGGTAGATACATTAACCCTATAAGTTCCCTCATAAATAATGCAACATGGTACCAATTAAAGATAAGGGTTATATTCAGAGTTGTTAAAGTATCTAGATACAAGTATCTAGATACTGTATCTAGATATAAAAATGTAGTATCTGTATCTGTATCAAGATAGATTTTTTAGAAAGGTATCTGTATCTGTATCTAGATATTTTTTTAGAGGTATCTGTATCTGTTTTTAGATACTTTTTAAGATACATTTTATATACCCCTTTTTTTATTATAAATAAAAATATATATTAATATTTATTAATACTATAATAAAGAATTATATATACATAAAATATTAAAACTTATATATAAAAAATATATATAAATATTCATTAATTTAAATATTATGTCCGAGTTTATCAATAAACCATACAAATTTTAATATTACAATATGGAAATGGTAAATTTTATTTTATAACTAAATTTTTAAGTTTATATATTTATTTAGATCTATATCGATGAAGAAGAGGAAGCAACAAGTTCTATTACTTTACCATGGCCAAATTGAGCATATTTTAAAATAATATCTCAAAACAAAGAAAACAAAAAATTCTCTGATGGTAATAGGTTTGCCGTGTCTACCTAAAAATACAAAAATATCCCTCAGTATGACTTCAACGTGCAATATCGTGAAGCACATAAGGGTATAGATATTATATATTTAAAATTCTAATTAAAATTTTAAGAGAAAATATCCAACCTTGTTAACAAAAATAAAAAAGGGGAAGGAAAATAAAATACTAAAGAAAATATTGGCAAGGCTCATCCTCCAATAATATTTTTGCTAAAAGACTGACTTTAACTTACTTTAGATGATTTAATTATTGCTTTTATTATAGATGGCATGCAGCCATTATAAAAGAAAACAATTGATACAAAGATTAGCTGGTAAATTATCAAAGTCATCAACTGACTGCAAGCAAATAACCTGCCAAAAAAAACAAATAATTTAATTTCAGATTTTTTTCAGTACCCTACAGCAAATATAATTTCTAATAATGATTTAAATTTTGATAATCAACAAATTTTAAATAACTTTTTCAAAAATAAATGTAGAGATTTTAGCATTTTTAAAGAACTGATATAAAATTGTTATTTATTAAATATAACACTACAATTCCTTCAAGCGCCCCTGTGGAAAGACTATTTAGTGTTGCTAAAAATGTCTTCACAGATAAACGAGGATGCCTAAATGATCAAAATTTTGAAAATATTTTATTACTGAAATCTAATAATTATTTAATCATATATTTTCATATATTATATTAAAATTATAATTTTAGTTATATTCTGATAAATGTTATATCACGTCAATAAATTTTTAGCTCATTTCATGAATTTTCACAATATAATATTAATTTAGGTTTATGCAAACCTATAAGAGCATAAAAAAATGTATCTGTATACAGATACATTTAAAAATTGTATCTGTATCTTGATAACTTTTTAGACGCTGTATCTGTATCTGTATCTAGATAACTTTTGAGACTATGTATCTGTATCTGCATCTAGATCCATTTAAAAAGTATCTTTTAACAACTCTGGTTATATTTAAATTTTATTTATTTACTTAATAAATAAATATATGTTGTAAATAATTGTATCAATATTTAATAAACAGTTGGAAAACTAATTACTTTTATTTTGAAAGATAATTTTTCCGTAAAATATATATAAATTATTATATTTGAGTTATATAATAAAATTATAATAGAAATGATATAATATCTTTTAAGAGTAGAAATAGGAATATTTTTATTAATAACTATAGGGTTTACATTTGCTTTATTGGTATTATCTTGATCTAGCTATTATTCAATAATAAATAACAAATAATAGTAACAATCATTAGACATAGGGGTAGCAATTTCATTGAGGTATGATGCAGTTAATTTTATATACATATATAAAATAATACTGTTCCGAGATGTCAATTTTTAGATTCCTAAAATAAAAAACTATTTTATATTTTTGCCTTTTAATATTTTACATTTGTCTGTCAATTTTAAAATTGACTCAGAATATTTGGTAATATCATCAATATTTTCTTTTAACCATATATATATATTGTTTGACATATAGTAGATCATTTTCCAGCACCTTTAATGTTACGATCTGAGTTATTGTAATATATTTATTGTGAACCGGTTCAAAATGGTTTTAAAAATAATTAATTTTAAATTATTAACTTAAATTTAAAATTTTAATTTTCCTTGGGGGGCATTTTTTAAATTGGTGATTTCTTTTCAAATATAATATTTCTATATTATCAACATTATATATCAAATTAAATAACATTATATATCAAATAATACTAGGTTTGTTGTTTTTTCTTTAAATACTTAATTTATAAGAGATTAGACAATTTATCTGTTAATTAGATAAGATATATTAAAATCAGACATAATTATTCTTGGCTAAATTAACAAATTTATATATAAGATATTAATAAGCTTTTAGAATAATACCTGCTAATAATTATGAAAAAATTATATAATTCTATTATTAATAAATAACATCTAATAGAAATCAAGTACCTTTTACATTCATTTTTATATTATATGGTTTATTTTTTATCTCATTATAAAAACTTGGATCATAGAATTTAAATGACAATAAATAAAATAGTCAGCAATATTTTAATGATATAATAATTTTTTATTTATAATCATTGTTTTTTTAAATTCAGAATTCTAATATTATATATTATTTATTATGTTAGTTAGCATTTACCATTATCATATATGCAAAATAAAAAAATATCATTAAAGAATGGCATTTGTAATGAATATTTTTCTAAATCTGTATTTTTAAATAATAAAAATCTTACTTTAAATCTTCTGTTTAAATAAGTTAATTAACATTGCATTAAATTATTTTTATACTTTTATTTATTTATTAATGTGTTTTATATTTAAATAAACTTACAGTGAATTAAAAATAGGAATTACATTTTGATGATAAACTAAATATAAATACTATAGTTTAGCTTAAATAACCTATTCTGTCATATTATATTAACATCTAATAGAAATAAAGTACTGACCAATTTTTATATAATATTGTTTTACAATAATTTCTTATTAATTGATATATTCAAAAAAAGTTTATCTTAGTTTATATAGAATATATCAGAGTGGGTAATTTGAATTAAACTATACTAGTTATATTTAGTTTAACATCAAAATGTAATTCCTATTTTTAAATGTAAGTCTATTTAATATAAAACACAAATAAATAAAAGTATAAAATAATTTAATGCAATGTTAGTTAACTTATTTAAACTGAAGATTTATAGTAAGATTTTTATTATTTAAAAATACAGATTTAGAAAAATATTCATTACAAATGCCATTCTTTAATCATATTTTTTTTATTTTGCATATATGATAATGGTAAATGCTAACTAACATATTTTAATAATAAATATTAGAATTCTGAATTTAAAAAAAAATGATTTTTATAAATAAAAAATTATTATATCATTAAAATATTTATTGCTGACCATTTTATTTATTGTCATTTAAATTCTATAATCCAAGTTATTTAAAAAAATAAAAATGAAGGTAAAATTGTTTCTATTAAGCTTTTTTATTTATTCTATTTATATAATAAAAGATTTTCATCTATCATCATATAGCTTTTTAGTTATCTATTAAATGGTTCGGGAAAAGTCAAATCCTGTGCGTTCCTATTTTAAATTAGATATCATAAAAAATCAATCTATTTGTAAAATAGAAGATTGTGGTAAGGTCTTAAATGGGGACCATGCTGCAAATCTTGAACGACATATAGAAAGATTCCACAATATGGAATTCAAATTATTAAGAAAAAAGAGAAAATTTGACTATTAAAAAAATTCAAATAACGAAAACTGCAAACCAGTATAATACAATCCAAGATGCTTTTAAGCCCAACACTACTACAATACAAATCAATATAAAGAAACTTTAATCCGCTTCTGCACCGAGCTAATAACAGTTCACGGTAGGCCAATAAAATCAATTGACGACAAATCATTTCGAAATATTATAGATCCAATAATTATAGGATTGGGTGGAAATTTAACTATCAATTCGGAAAATATACGCAATAATATTAAAAAAAATGGCGTTAGATTTTTCGGAAAATATAAAAAAGGAAGTATATCAAAAGCTTATTTCGTTAAAATTAGATATAGCAACTAGATATGATAGGTCCATATTGGGGATCCAATTTATAAATAACGGAAAAATAAAATTAAGGACTCTATGCATGAAAGTGATTAAAGAACGACACACATCAGAATATCTTAAAAAAATTATTCTAGATGTTCTAAAAGAATATGAAATAAAAATTGAGCAGATTTACACAATAACCACCGATAATGCAGCAAATATGATTAAGTTAAATAAACTATTAATACTACACGATGAAGAA